TCTTTCCCTGGCTTCACCCCTCCCTGTCCCTTTCCTTTTCCATCTAATCTCTGTCCACTTGTCTCTCTTCATCTCTTTGCTCTTTCTATCTCTTTTCTCTCTATTTTCTTTTTTCTTCAGGAGTCTTTCCACACCTTTTTTTCTCATCTTTTATGTTCCTGGTGTTTTTCCCAATCCTGCGTCTTATCAAGCCTTTCTGTCTATGTAGTTAGAATTCCTGAACAGTTTTGCTTTATTTACTTAGTAGTGAGAACAGCTGTGTGAAGTGTGACCAGGTGAACAATCTGCTCTGCATGGTGGCAGAGCTGTGAGATGAAGTAGAAAGCTTAAGGAGCATCAGGGAGTCTGAGAAAGAGATAGACTGCTTAAACCATGCTCTTCTTTCCCTGAGGCAGAAACTGGAACAGTCACCAATAAAAAAAACAAGATCAAGGAGGTTCTGTATCCTCCCCCACTAAGCTGAAGGCAGTAGCTTAAAGGGAAGGAGTGAATGGAGGAAAGTCCACGCTCGAGGTGCCAGGTGAACCCCCACCTCACCTTCCCAGGTGCCTCTGTACAACAGGTATGAGGCTCTTGATGTGGAAGGGGGATGATGCAGATGATGGTCAATCTACACCAGAGGTGTTGCCAGGGTCAGAAAGGCCTACCCCCTGTGTCACGACCACCTCCATGAGGGAGAAAAGATGGCTAATAGTTAGAGGCGACCACCTTCTGAGGGAAACAGAAGGTCAAATATGTTGAACAGACCCTCCTCTTAGGGAAGTCTGCTGCCTCTCTGGGGCCTGAGTTAAGGACATTGCTAGGAAACTTCCTAGCTATGGCCCTTGAACTGTTACCCATTACTGCTCTTCTGTGTGGGTGGAGATGAAGCCACAACACGTAGTCCGAGGGTGATCAAAAGAGACTTCAGGGCCCTGGTGCAGCTGGTTTGGGGATCTGCAGCATAAGGTATTCTTTCCTCTCTCCTTCCTGTTGCAGACAGCAACACTGGAAGAAACAGACATGTCCAGTCCATTAATACATGGCTCTGTGGCTGGTGTCACTGCCAAAATTTTGAGTTTTTCAACAATGGGATGGCCTACATGGCATCAGACTTACTGGCACCAGATGGAATTCACCTTTCTCAAAGACAGAAGAGAGTCTTTGCTCACGAGCTAGGAGGGCTTATTGACAGGGCTTTAAACTAGATTTGAAGTGGCAGAAGAATAATATCAGGCTTGCCCATGACAAGCTGAGAGCACCTGTAGAGTATCAGAAAGGAATTCCAGCCACTCAGCCAGGAAGTCAGCTTCATTGGCAGCCCAACTTAAATGCCTTCATACAAACGCATGTAGCATGGCGACTAATCAAGAGGAGTTAGACATATGAGCACGCCTGCAGGACTATGATCTTATTGGCAACTGCAGGACGTGCATTATTGGCATCATGGAGATGTGGTGGGATGGCTCCTATGACTGGAGTGTTGGAATGGAAGGATACATGCTCTTTAAGAAGGACAGGCAAGAGAGACAAGGAAGAGGTGTCTCTATGTCAATGACTAGTTGGGGTGCATGGAGCTCTGCCTTGGGGATGGATGAGGAGCTGGCTGAGAGTTTACCCGTCAAGATTAGTGCATTATTGGCATCATGGAGATGTGGTGGGATGGCTCCTATGACTGGAGTGTTGGAATGGAAGGATACATGCTCTTTAAGAAGGACAGGCAAGAGAGACAAGGAAGAGGTGTCTCTATGTCAATGACTAGTTGGGGTGCATGGAGCTCTGCCTTGGGGATGGATGAGGAGCTGGCTGAGAGTTTACCCGTCAAGATTAAAGGGAGGGCATGGACAGGTGATTTTATAGTGACAGTCTACTACAGAGCACCTGACCAGGAAGACTGAGTGTGTAAGGCCCTCTAGAGACAGATAGGAGCAGCCTCATGTTGACGAGACTTGGTCTTCATAGGGTATTTCAGCCACCCTGATATCTGTTGGAGGGACAACACAGGGACAACACAGCAGGGCATAAGTTATTCAGGAGATTCCTGGAATGCATCAATGACAGAGGAACCAATGAGAAGAGGCTCTACGCTGGACATTGTTCTCACCAAAAAGGAGGGGCTGGTGGGGAATGTGGAACACAAAGGCATTCTTGGTTGCAGTGACCATGAAATGGTGGAGTTCAAGACAAGATCCTTAGGGTGGCGAGGAGGGAGCACAGGATTCTGAATATTCTGG